GTTCCTGGGAAGGGACAGGACACACCTTGATGGCTTTCCCATGGATTTTGGGCACCTATTTCTGCTTGGGTGTCCCATCCTGGATGTCCCATCCTGGAGCCACCTGGCAGAGGTTCCTGGGAAGGGACAGGACACACCTTGATGGCTTTCCCATGGATTTTGGGCACCTATTTCTGCTTGGGTGTCCCATCCTGGATGTCCCATCCTGGATGTCCCATCCTGGAGCCTCCTGGCAGAGGTTCCCAGGAAGGGACGGGACACACCTCGATTGTCCACCTTGATGGACATCTTGGTGGCTTCCCTACGGATTTGGGGCACCTCATCCCAGCTCCCTGCCCTGTTCCTGCTGGGAGAAGGGGGTGGAGAGGCTGGAGAGCTGCTCACGGGCCATCGTGGTGGTGACACGGGAGCCGATTTTCCTTCTTCCCACGCAGGGAATGCGACCTGGAGCTGCTGCAGGAGGAGCTGGACAGGATGGAGATGAGCTGCGTGCGAGGTGACCACGCTGTGGGAGGTGTGGGGATCCAGGACACGGATCCAAAGTCCTGGCGTGTCCCCCTCATCCAGTGTCCCCATCCAGTGTCATCCCAGAGCGTCCCCAAGCTCTGCCAGGGCACCATTCCAAGTGTCCCCAACCTCCGCCTGGAGCACTGGGAGGTGTCTCCATGTTCTTCCAGAGCCCTCGTACCCGGAGCAGCCCCAGGACATTCCCGGCTCCGTAGGACGGGTGTCACCTTTTTCTGGTGGCCGGAGGACGACGCGGAGCTCGCGTGGGGTAAGTGGTGCTGGATGGGATGTCCTCAAATTGGGGTTGTCCCTCAAAAACCTGCTCTTTGGGAACGGGTTTTGGTTACGGAATCATGGGATGGGGTTGGGGATTTGGGAGTGGATTTTGGTCAGGGAATCGTAGGATGGGATTGGGGTTTTGGGAATGGATCTGGGAATGGATTTTGGTCACAGAATCATGGGATGGGTTTGGGGATTTGGGAGCAGATTTTGATCAGGGAATCATGGGATGGGTTTGGGGATTTGGGAGCAGATTTTGATCAGGGAATCATGGGATGGGTTTGGGGATTTGGGAGTGGATTTTGGTCAGGGAATCAGGGGATGGGATTGAAGATTTGGGGATGGATTTTGGTCATAAAATCATAGGATGGGTTTGGGGATTTGGGAGTGGATTTTGACCTTGGAATCATGGGATAGATTTGGGGATTTGGGAATGGATTTTGTTCAGGGAATCAGGGGATGAGTTTGGGGATTTGGGAATGGATTTTGGCCACAGAATCAGAGGATGGGTTTGGGGATTTGGGAATGGATTTTGGCCACAGAATCATGGGATGGGTTGGAAGGGCCTCCTAAACCCCTTCTTCCCCACCAGGCGACGCCGGAGCCGGTCATGGACACCAGGAAGCACCAGGAGCCCAATCCCTGCATCCCGAGGGCCACCACGTGAGCTCCGACCACCCTTCCCCAGGGCCTGGTGTCACCCCAGCGTGGGCTGTGGCCTCCTGGGGGGGCTGACGGGCGTGTCCCCTGCAGGTCCCTGCTGTCCCCACGCTCCCCGTGCCGGGCGCTCACCAGGGCCGGGCAGCGATGCCGGAAGAAAGCCATTCCCGGGAAGGACTTGTGCCACATCCACGCCTCCGGCAGCAGCTTGGCCATGGATTCATCCCCTGGTTTTGACCCTCCACCCCCTCCCTGAGGGCTTTTAAACCCCCTTTCTTTTTTATTTTTTTTTTTGGCTCTCCCAGATCCTGGCGGAGAACACGTGGATGCCGTTGGATGTGGGTTCGGGGCAGAGGCTCCTCGTCCCGCCAGTTTTAGGTCATTTGCATTTTTTGGTTATTTGCATATATTTTAATAAACGCCACGTTTCCAGCTGGAGTCTTTCCCGCTCTGGTCCCCCCTTATCCCATGGGATCATCCCCATGTGCCAAGAGCCAGCAGCGAATCGCTCGGCTGCCGTCCCTGTGCCGTGGAATCCCGATCCCCTTCCCGTTATTAGGCCTAATTCCAGGTAATTAGCGCAGCTCATTAACAGCTCACCATCCTCTTGGACACCACCACGGTGGCTCCTTCCTACCACCTAATTTGGGATCCCTTTGGGATACTCCGACCTTCCCGCCCCTCCCTGCCCTGGGCGTCCCGCGCCGCTCCCGGCACGGGGCAGGAATGTGGGAGCTGCTCCCTGGGCTCCTGGTTTTTTTCCCTTTGGAATTGTCCCTGTCACCCCCCCCCAGCCCCGTCCTCTGCCCCAGCAGAGGACAACCCTGAGTTGGAAGAGGATGATCCCGGTGATCCCGGTGCCGTCACTTCCTGGCGTCGGCGTAGTTGGCGTCGAACCAGGCACAGGTTTCCTTCACGGCTGCGGAGGGAGAAGGTGGGATTGGGAATGGATTTGGGTCATAAAACGGGATGGGTTTGGGGATTTGGGAGCAGATTTTGGTCACAGAACCGTGGGATGGGATTTGGGATGGATTTTGGTCATGGAATCAGGGATGGGTTTGGGAATGGATTTTGGTCACAGAATCATGGGATGGGATTGGGGATTTGGGAGTGGATTTTCTTCACAGAATCATGG